GGCTCTACCTACTGCAGATAGTGTGCTGAGCTGTGCCCTTGAGGGAGCTACAACTATGCTCAGACTCCCAAAGTCAAGGGGCTGAAAGTCTGATTGGGAAGCTTTCTGTGAATACATAAAATAAATCACCTGATAAACGGATAAGCAAATTATCTATAATGTGTATGTGATACCATTGTAATTACCTAGTTATTAGCAACAGAAACGGAACAAAGGGAAGGCCAGACGTTATAATCATGCCATTTAGGAAGCTTCCCCAGGAAGCTACAACTTTACACACACACCCTGCAAAGCACTGGGGGAAGGGGTCTAACAAAGGGGAGATAGACGTATGTGCAGTAAAGTGAGGATGACACAGGAAAGACGCCTGTCAGTTAAACCTGGGAACAGAGATCATTGGCCAGAAGGGGCAGGGCTACTATAAACCCACAAAAGTGTGGGAATACATAATCCCCAAGACAAAGGAATTCTCTTGGCTCTTGGCTCTCTTGTTTTATACTTGCCCATGTTCCCTCCATGGCCATGTGGCCATGTGGACCCCACATGCAATGGACTAATGGACTGCAGCTGAGAACACAAACTAAGCTAGTCCGATGCTGGACTGGACTGCTCCAACATGGAATGGAAACTCTGGGCACTGGCTTCGATCTTAGCCCTGCTGAAGCCAAAATGGGACTTCTTCCCTGCCAGGTCGAAGGGAAATGGGACCTTGGAAACTCAGGGGTGTCATTCCACAGAAATAATGCTTTCTACAGTATCTCATCCTCCTGTGGGGGCCTCCAGTAATTCTTATTCCAGTGGTACCCCAGAACCCCACTTCCACTGATAACATATGTGCACTCATACAATTAAGACATCAGTCTGTGTGTATGTATAGTAAGCCATAGACCAGGACCTACTCAATCATAAATTTGGAACTGCAAATGCAGTACCCCCTACAAGTACAGTTTGCAATTATTCTAAAATATCGAACACTGTGCTGTGAGATAAAGCCCATTTTTAGGCCTTCCCCCCCCCCCCACATACATTCACAAATACTAAAAACCCACCATTTTCACTTCGAGAAAGAAAACAACCTGTCAGTTCGAAAGAATTCAAAGAAAATAAAACGTCCTTTTGCTGCTGTCCTCATTGGCCTCCTGTGCAGTCCTCTCCTATAACCTTAGCAGAGCGTCGACCCTTCCTCTGGGCTCACGCTTAAACACACACGGGAACACCCGTGATGGTGGTTGTGTGTTTTGACTGGTTTGAGCCTCACCGAAAGCCTGAAGGACAGCGAACACTGACGTAATTCTGTTGTGCTTAGTGATGAAGAAACTGAGGCTCAGATGGGTGGGGTGGCCTGCCCAACGTGTCAGAGCTGAGAACAAAACTGACCGGCTTCTAAATGGAGGCCCCCTTTTAAAAAGTTCACCTTTAGCCCTGGCCGGTTTGACTCAGTGGTTAGAGCGTCGGCCTGCGGACCAAAGAGTCCCGGGTTCGATTCCAGCCAAAGGCAAGTACCCCGGTTGCAGTTCATCCTGGGCCCCGGTTGGGGTCATGCAGGTGCAACCAATCGGTGTGTCTCTCTCACATCGATGTTTCTCTCTCTCTCTCTCCCATTCTGTCTGAAGATGAATGTAAAAATATTCTTGGGTGAGGATTAAATAAATAAAAATAAAAAGTTCTTCTTTAAATCGTAAGACCATCAGATTCCGAGTCCTCTGAACTCCCCTGTTAACTTTATTGTCATTTTCAGTGACAGTATCACTGGAATCCAAAAAGCTACAGGTTTGACTTACAAAAACAGGATTAAACTATTATGCTAATCTCCAGAAAACTACTTCCAGCACTCCCTCATGCTTCACACTTTCCTGTAAAATTGTTAATCTTCTTATTTTACAGCTTAATTCCACTGTAATTCTGACATTTGGCTTCTTTCACAATCCATTTCATTTCAGTTCAGTGAAAACATTCAAATATTTAATCACACAGTTAGAAATGTTGAACTACTAATGTTATCACTGTAGGTCTTCTCTTCTTTGTCCGGGGACATAATTCATACACAACACCTTTCTCAGTTAATAAAGCCACAGTCTGAAGGAAAATGGCAGAGAGCACATTGTTCTAGTCAATCATTCTTAACACTGTGTCGCACCGTTGGCAACAACTCACTGGGCAACCCCCTCTAACAGAAATACACCTACACACGGGACTGGAACGTGTCTCTGCCACATGGGGGGCAAACACCAGGGCAGCTGCTGGAAACATCAAAGGAAGCAAGTCCCCTCCCCGTGAGGAACAGGAGGAGAGTTAGATAGCAGGAAAAACAAATACAAAACGGATGTTTTGTGTGTTTTTTAAATCCTCACCCAGGATACTTTTCATTTATCCTCAGACAGAGTTATCCTCAGACAGAGGAGGAGGGAGAGAAACACATTGATGTGACAGGGACACATCAACTGGCTGCCTCCCGCACGACCCCCAACCGCAACCTGAGGCAGGTGCCCTTGACCGGAATCGAACCCACGACTCCTTGGTCTGAGGGCCAGAGGTCTAACCGCTGAGCCAAACCGGCCAGGGAAAAAGGGATGTTTGAGACAATGGCTTTCAGCTGCTCTTGGCTGTTGTTTCTGCGTCACCACGGTGCTGCCCAGGCACCTGTGTTCGCCTCTCCAGTCACCTCCGACTAAGGCGGATCAAAGTAATCTCAAAGAGGAGGAGAGCAAAGGTTTTAAGGTAGGGTGGCTTTTCTCTCCCTAGAAGAGATTTCCTTTCTCTTTCTCTTTATATCCTAGCAAAGACTTTAATCCATTTTTGTTTCAATTTCTATGTTAAATTCCCCCAAGGCACTTCAGGGCTGTGATATTTGTGACGTGGGCAACACCCTACTCAGTTTCAATGAGAAGGCGCCTAGAAGAAAAACTCAACTGAAATCTTTTTCTCCAATTTTTCTTTGTGGGGTTGCACAGCCTCTTGCCACCCCTGTGCACAGAGCGGCCAATCGCCAAGGGGACGACGACAACTCAACAGGTGATGACCTTTACTCAACACTGTCTTGTGCCTTCACTCTACTGCTCCTTGGAATGAAGGTAATTGAAACGAAATGTGCTATCCATGGTAGTTAACTGTCACATAAGAGCCAGAATCTGGGTAATAATCCTAAAAGGACTGGGGCCAAACTTGGTGACTACCAGATTGAAAAAGTTTCCACTTTGAGATGCTAATGCTTGGGTCATGATCATGATTCATAACATTCAACTCCGTAATTTGAAAAAGGAAGAAAATCTCCACGTGCAAGTGTCTGTCCACCTAATGGTCACGGGCTCGGGGTGTCTCACCTAGAAGGCTCTCTCGTCACTGTCATTACTGACAAGTGGACGGCCACCTTAAAATGACTTAAAAAGAAGTCATAACCACATACAATGTTAACGTTTCTGCAAATGAAGGTAGTCAGCCAAGTGAAGCTGACTTCGCCGTCACAAAGCACTGAGTTCCAAGCACACGGTGAGCTCCAAGCTGCTGCGGGCCCTGGGATTAGCGCCAGGCCTGGCTCTTCCTCCTACACGGAGCAGAGCTGCAGCCAGGCAGGCCTGAAACAGACAAGCCCAGGGAAGCAGCATTTTGGAAAAGGAGAAGGACATGAGCCACAGGGCCAGACGTTAGCAACTCGGAGGGTGGCCGAGGTGGGGGACCAGCAAGGGTATGACTTTGAGGACACGGAGAACTCAGTTTGAATCCCAGTTCTGTAACCATTACATACGGACCTTGGGCAAATTTCTTGATTTTGCCAATCCTTACTTTCCTCACGTATACGTGGGCACAGTACTGTCTGTCTAGCAGAGTTATCAAGATTGGAAGCTGATACACAAAGGGGCTCAGCACACTGACTGCAGCTAGGAGACATTTAATACAAGACAGCTGTTTTATTATTTCAATACTACACATCCCCAAATGGGCTTTCCAAGATATATTTTAGAAACTAGAAAATATTTTCCTATGTAAACAAGGTAATGATAAATTTAAATCACAAATCATTATAACAATAACTGTTTACTGAGCACTTCCTACTTATTAAGTGAACAACCATGGACCAAGTACTGTTTCCAGAGGCACTTTGCAGACAATGGAACGGAAACATGGAGAGGGACGTGTTGCTCAATGTGGCACCGCGGGTGAGGAGCGGACAAACCTCAAACCAGGCGAGTGGTCCCGGGGCCTAGTGCCTCTGCATGGCCTTAGGATGGCCAGAACTCCATCCACTCCCAGAAACCCGCTTATTTTTAACATGTGTGAACTACAGTGTATCTATATCTATATTTATCTATATCTCTATCACCGTTTTCCCTTTTTTTTTAAAAAAAAAAAAACAGATTTATTAAGACCTAATTTACGTATCATAAAATTCACTCCAATAACTTGTATAATTCAGTGGTTTCTGGTACATTCACAGAGTTGCACAACCATCAACACTACTAATTTTAGAACCTTTTCATCACAACAAAAAGTAACCCCTTACACATAGCAACCCTCCCCCACACCCCATCTGCGCAGTCCCTGGCAGTCACCCGTCTTCTCACTACATTCTTTATTTTGAAGATACAGTTATTTTTTTCGAAGTTATTTATATATTAAAATACAGTGAAATCATTTTATCTTTAAAGAATTCATAAGTAATTACTTTTTTTGGTTTCAATTTCTCATCATTATATTGACGGATACAAGCCGCACACAGGCTCCTTGGCGCTCAGCAGGTCTGAGGATGAGAGAGGGGACTGACACAATGTTGCTCTCTAAGAAAAACTCCTGCTGTCTCGGTGAAGTTGCCTGATCTGGACAGTTCACCATCTCAACGAACCTTCCGGCTAATGGGACGACAAGATTCTTTCTGGAATCTTTTCTGCAGAGTCACCAGATATAAAATCTCTCTCTCCCCGGCCGTCCTTGCCACGGGAGCGTCCTGGTTTTGAGCAGGAGACAGACCAAGGCTCAGCGAGGCTGGAGTCCAAGGAGACACTCACCTTCACTAAGTCCGTGTAGCCCGTCTCCTCAGGGGTCCACCAGGGCCGGGCCCTCAGTCCGTTCACGTTGTAGAGGGACCGCTGCCACACAGACGCAAAGTGGCCCCGCTGGTGCCCCAGCTCGTACCACTTGTATGCCTGCAACAACGGAAAAATGAACTGCAAACGAGGCACGCTTTTAGTAATTTTAAAGTTAAAGTCACTAATAATAAAGAATTACTTTGTGACATTTAGATAAAAGAGTTTGCTGGCCAGGCACCCAAAGCTGTTACAATGGTGAAAACGCTGTTATTTGGCTGGGTTCCTGGTTGTGACCTATTACGATGCATGAATGTGTGCATTTTATTTTCCGTCTTCGGCGGTAGGTCTTTCAACACAGACTCATCCGCACACACCTCTCCCTCAGTGTCCAGCGGAGTCCAGGATTTATTTGTTGAGTAATAATTTTAGACACTAAACTCGGCTATATAGTTTAGCTTTTGTTCCTTAAATTCTGTCTTGATGGTTCCTTTAAAAGGAAAGCATTAGGATTTTGATGATTTCTTCAAAGGTGTTTGTGTTTACAGAATTGGAATGCTAAAACTCAGTTCTTCCTTTTCACGTGTGTGTTCTTTCCACATCTACACTGAGGAGGCCCCCCCAAAGCAAGGGCGTAAATCAGCCATCACATTAAGTAGACAAAAGGAAATAGTATTCTGAGTTGGCATTAATTTAGCGGTAGCTCGTATTAGACTTTTTTGAAAGGGGGATTTTGTTCTTTTTCCCTGCTGTTAGGATAACATCTGTGGCTTTAGGCTAGCTGGAGCATGACATGACTGGCCTCCAAGAAGGCTGGCCTTCCCAGGGACAGCTGGTGCCAGTGTGCCCTCCATCTGTCTCCTTCAGATGACGCTGTGGCCAGAGGCTCCCCCAGCAGCACCCCCCCTCCCTGCAGGTGCACACGCCTAGGTCCTCAGGGAAAGCCGGTTCCAGCTCTCTCCTCACCAGTGTCCCCTCCGTTACTGTAAGATTCATCTAATGATACTTTCAGATATATTTTTATATGTGTTTATTGACTTTTGAGAGAAAGAGGGAGAGGGAGAAACATCGATGTGAGAGAGAAACATTGATCAGCTGCCTCCTGCACGCCCCTTACTGGGGATCGAGCCTACAACCAGGGCACATGCCCTGACCAGGAATTGAACTGGGACCTCTCAGTCCATGGGACGACACTCAATCCACTGAGCCACACTGGCTAGGCTGAGGGCACCTTCTTAAATGTGTTTTCTATACTTCGAATTATTGGCAGGTATGATCACACACACACACACACACAAGACACAGAAATTGCACGTGGAATGATGCCAAATCAGAAAAGCCCAGGCTCCACCGGGGAACCGGTGAGTCATACGTGGCCTCGGCCAGAATGTGCTATGCCTGGTGCTCGGGGCGTGGCGGGGCCTGGGAGACACACTTGTGGCGAGGACAGTTGGCTGCAACTGGCTTGTGGAGGACTGTGAATGCCACTGCTTGGAAATAGGACTTTATTTTTATTTTGCACCACGGGATGTTTGAGCATCAGATGTCTCGGAAGAAAGGTAAGCCTAAAGCAAGAAACAGCAGCCGGGTTCTCCCAGCCATCACTGACGTGGAAGGTAACAATGACAACGCTGACTGAGCAAGAGGGAAGGGGACGATGGGCTCCACAGACACCGGAAGTTGACTTCTCAGATCCTGGCCCTGTCTAAACAGGAGGAGGGAAGAGCTAGAGCTGATTCAAGTCCTGATCCCAGGAAGTCAGCAAGATCATCCGATGAGAGATGGAACCCAGGGAGAAAAACAGTGTAGAGGAAGACAAGCGTTGTCCCGGTGATGTGAGGTGACTGAGCAGGCAGAAGACATACGAGTCTGGACTTCGAGTGGGAGCTGGGAGCTGGGATGTGGTTTGGGGAGGTACGGAAACACTGGGAACAGCTGAGACTGAACTGCTAAGACTGTCATGGTTTGTCTTCCTCCTTCCTGTCCATAGGAAACACGCCACTAGAAAAACCTTCCTCAAAATCAACTTGATCGTCAGCCTTTGCAGCCCAGAGGCTGTGGTCTGCTTCCTTCCGGTGCCTGGAGCACAGCTCCCCGCCCTGAGGACTCGGCAGCTGCTTCCTGAACTGCAGACTGAGAACATGACAGTCCCCGCAGAGTCTGTACCGACAGCAAGAATATACCAGCGTGTATTTCTATAGGGTCGTTTTCATTTTACTGCAAGGATGAATCCTTGTGAAGTTTTAAACCTCAAGAACTGTGCTGTCCTGTGCATATTCATAATAAGTAAGCTGATAGAAAACAGTCTCGTAGGTTCAGATCCCAAGCCCTTGACAGGTGTGTAGTCGTGAATTCTTTGCCCTTGAAGTAGGGCTATTTTTGTCTAAGGTGTGAGAAGAAATCATAGACTTCCTTGATCTGTGTTTGCCTTGGACCCTGAGATGTTCAAAGATAAATTGATCAGTGAGAATTACAGTTATACAAATCAGACAGGAATATTTATCCAGTGTTAGATGCTGCAGAAAAACTTTCTTCTCCCTCTCATTCAAGGAGGTATCAGGCATCTACATCTAAAAGAATGAAGGCACGCAAAGGAGATTACTAATCAGCAATTTCTTCTCCCTTATTTCTCTTCACCTCTCATAGCTCCTTCTATTTCAGTGACTGACTGTAGGTTAGAGGGGGAAAGGTACAGACACATAGAAATGCACAAAGAAAATAGTGTCAGCTATCCAAATCTCGATTATCCTAAACTGGTTCATGTTTCTAGCTGGCAATTAACTCATCACAATACCCCTTGCTCCAATGAACCTTTGTTTGTCCAAATGGTCCCAAGTTATTAATGTTAGAAACCTGAAGCCATGTTGTCCTTAGATACAATTTTGTTGCATATGTGGAATGCAGTAGTTACAAAGATCCAGTGTCTCACTTTACCTGTTACCCTGACTCCAAGGAGAGCCCAGTCTAGAGCCATGTGACAGTGTAGGACTTCCGTGGTGTGGACTTGCTGTCCAGCAATGTCGTGTAAATCATGGCGGATTGCTTCTGAGAGTTCGGGAATTTATGTCGTGATCAATGACATAATGCTATGTTTAAAGAAGCTGACACTGGCCCTGGCTAGTTTGGCTCAGTGGTTAGAGTGTTGACCCTCCGTCCAAAGAGTCCCGGGTTTGGTTCCCGCTAAGGGCATGTACCTCGGTTGCAGTTTGTCCTGGCCCCAGTTGGGGTCATGTGGGTGGCAACCAGTCAATGTGTCTCTTGCATGGATGTTTCTCTCTCTTCCTCCCTCTCTCCTTCCCGCTCTATCTGAAGATAAATGCAAAAATGTCCTAGGGTGAGGATTAAAAAAAATAATAATGATAAAAAATAAAGAAGCTGACATTGTACTCAGAAAATGTAACAGTCACAAAGAAAATATGTAACTTGTTTTAATCACTCTATTTTCTGTCAGTACCTGTTACTGCTATCTCACCTGTTATTAGTATCTCACCTGGTATTACTATCTCACCTGGTATTACCATCATTATGACTGTCCCCACAGGTGTCCATCTTAAACTTGGTATTAAATATTTCAGGAGGTAATTTACACAGTTAACCAGGGAGTTCAGTGAGCTTTGGAATCAGATGAACAAAGACTTCACAAACGTGTTACCTCTTTGTCCCCAACCCTCTGCATGGCATCCCCCAGGTGGAAATAAAATCGCCCATCATCAGTGCCAGGGTCCCCAGATTCTATTCCTTCCTGTGGAAAAGACAGCATCGGCATTTATGAAAAACTTAAGTACCACATTCAATTCATTGATTTACTTAATCTTTATAGACCATACGAAAATCGAAGAAGCAGACAAATTCTTCTCAACATTAAAGTTTGGCAACTGGATTACTGGTCAATATTTACAGCGCAAAACTGAAAAGAGGTAATAAAAGTTAAATTTAACCATATATTCATCATTCATGAACAGCGGACTAGCCCATGAAATCAGTGTGACACTTTGTGAATGGTCTCTGAGGGTACAATCGTATTTCAATATGAACATTTGTCATCTAGGGGATTTTTAAAAAAAATACCTGAAACAAAATGTTTAGTTGCTCATATATATATCTGAAGTGAGAGGCCCAACTGCACGTAATATCTTCCCTCTAAAAACAGATGTGCCATCACCTTTTTACAAAACGGTTTCTAAAACAGACGACAGGATTAAAGCTAAGTGAAATCTTTGAAAATGTAATTGTTATTAAACAAATCTTATTCTATAAAAAACTTAGCTGATATCGATCTCCATCTCCCACATAAGGACTGAAATTGAGATTTATGTAAAAAATAAAAAATAAAAGCGAGAGAGAAAATATTAAAGCAAGAGAACAAATTTTAAAAAGTAAAAGGACGAAGATAAAAATATTTAAATATCAAGGAATTCTTTTAAAAATCTGCATCTTTGAGGCTTTTTCATAAGAAACGCAGTTTCCTGGGAAGAAGTTTTATTAGCATAATTTGGAAAAGGAGCTGTAAGAAACAGGGGAAGCATCACTCAGGAGGATGAGCTGAGATCAGGGTTCTTGACGGACAGACACTTAAATGAAAGTCCTCATTTGCTAACTGACCTTCCTGTCCTGTTTCCTCATCTCTGAAGCAGGGAGAGTCCTACTAGGCCCTTATTATGTCAAAGGACACCTACGGGGAACACCTTAAATCAGAGAGACACACGCCCACAGGGTTGTCACAGGAATGGAAGGTGTGCAGAGGCCCAGTGACAGCCAAGACAGATTGTGGGGTGCATGCCCACCTCAAGGGGACAGCACCGCTCAGCTTCTGTGCTGAGACATGGGCCAGAAATGAACTTTCCTGAAAAACCTGAAATCTGCATAATTGTATAAAATGGTCAGATTCTCAACAGAGACAAGCAATTAAAATTGTTTTTAATAGAATTATGTTTTCTAAATATAACACGCAAGCTATTTATAATCAGGGCGGCTATTTGCTATCTCTGATGGAAGTCATGTGAAAGAAAGAGATCATGCAGGTGTAATATACTGCCACTTAAAAAGAAGTTCACAGCATTCACTCAGCTACCTGTCTAATATGGTAGCTGTTGGCCAATGTTACTATTTAATTTAAAATTAATTAGGATTGCTCTGACCAGTATGGCTCAGCAGTTGGAGCATCGGCCCACAGACCAAAAGGTCTCAAGTTCAATTCCCGGTCAAGGGCACACACCTAGGTTGCAAGTTTAATCCCCAGCCCTGGTCAGGGTCATGCAAGAAGCAACCAATCAATATGTCTCTCTCACATAGATGTTTCTCTCTCTCTCTTTCTCTCCCTTCCTTCCACTCTGTCTAGAAAAATAAATGGGAAAGTACCCTGGGGTGAGAATTAACAATAACAACAACAACAATTAATTAGGATTAAAATAAAAAATTCAATCCTTTGGTCACATTAGCCACATTTCAGGTGCTCAACAGCCACACGTGGCCAGTGGAGAGCACAACGGAAGAACATTTCCCCTGTGCAGAAAGTTCTGTTGGACAGCCAGGAGCTAGACCAAATGTGCTTCTAGTTAGTTGACAAAGAGTCAACTGGATACGAGAGAGAAAAAAAAAATGACAGCATATTTTAATGTGAATATTTTGAGCTGTCGGACTTTGGGAGTTTGACTTATCAGTTTGCAGTTTCTACCTCACTTTGTAAAGGCTGCGATGAGCCCTATTCAACTGATTTCAATGTATAATTACATGGTGAAAGGGACATTTAATTCATTGCCCATATTTTAAAATATTATGTCAATAATTATGGTCTACCTTTGACATTGCAATAAAAATTAATGACTACTGAAAGAGTCTCTGCTCCTACAGTTGCTATTTCTACGCTCGACACTCTCAGTCATGCAGAAGGTCCACGCTGGCCTAGGAACGTCATGGTCCGAGGACGTCCATTCCCACCACGAGAACACTCAGCAGCACCTGCCAACCAAGCCACAGTGCACAGTCAGGGCGTCCAAAAGACTCCAAACAACCGGAGGATGAAAAAGGAGCAGGGACAGTCACCTTCAAATAGGGAATGCTTTCTGCAATCTTGTTCTGTGCCTTCAGGATGAAGCCATAATGTACTTTAGCGAAGCCATCATTAGGTGTTACATTCAGAACCTAAACACAAAGAGAAAAAAAAAGCTACTGTGATTAACTACAAATTCTACAAATGACTGTCAAAACAAAGATTAATTAGCTTTGCTATAGTTGGATCATGATGTTACAGCATAAGACACTAGTGTTTCGTCTCACTGCAATATATTAGGCTTAAATGGCCCATTTCCCTCAGCTTCATGTTTTCGCACCTACACATCCGTCCATCAGGAACGAATAAATAAATGTGGAAAGGTAACAACTGCTAGAGCATTACGTTAACAATGCAAATCAGCAAAACATCTGTCAATTGTTATGACTTCAATATGCTTTAGTAATCAAGAAAAACGACTTCAAATTTGCTATCTTAAAGTCAATTCTGAATGATTATACATTTCTTTACATACATGCTTTACACAATGCCTAGCAGAAAACTTAGATTTGCATTTGTAATAAATCATCATCCTTTGGATTCAAAGTACATTTCTTGAACAGCCAGACCACTTTCAGGACTGAGAATAAAGGGGTGAGCAAATCCAACAGTCTGTGATTAAACACAGGTAAATATCAAAAAATGAATCAAATCATGGTTTATCATATGCACTTATTATGATTAAAGATTAATAATGCAAAATGCCTCCAAATGAAATATTAGCAGTCAGAAAGCAAAACAGTAACATTTCAACTTGTGGAGCTGCTTAGACAGACTAGTCCACAGAACCAAGTGGAAGATGAAGAAGGTTTGGGTTGAGTGAATATCTTCTAGCTTCTCTTTCTCCTTGAGCCTAAGGAAAGGGGCGCACAGCCACGACGGGCTCCTTACACAGGAGTGAGTGTGCAGAAGGGGGCCCAAGGCCTTGGGAGCCCACAGAATGCACGGCAGATCTTCCCAGCTTCTATCCAGTCCCGCAGCTCACCCATGGGCACATCCAGAGAATTCTACCTTTAAAATACATTCAGAATCATACCCCTTGTTACCTCCTTCAGCGCTGCCACCCGGGGCCAAGTTATCATTTCTCTCCTACCTGCACCCCCAGCCCTGTTCTCCAGCCACCCATTCTCCACACGGGGCCCTGAACGGACTCACTAATCCAAAGTCAGGTGTCATCTTCAATTTGTTAAAAACCCAAAGGGGTTGCACTTTACTCAGGGCAAAGTTCTAGGACACAGCCCCCAAAGCCCCCTTGAGCTGGCCTCTGTACTTCTCTGGCCTCCTCTCCTACCTGCCCCCCACCAGCTACTCTGAGCACCCTGGACTCCATGCTGCAATGCAAGCCAAAGGCATGCCTGCCTCAGGGCCTTTGCACCTATGGTGCTCCTTTGCCTCAGTCTTCTGGAGCACAAATGGTTCACTCCCTGATCTTGATGAAGACCTTGATTAAAGGTTACCATCTCAGTGAAGCTCACACCCAACCACCCGATATAAAACAGTCACCCTCATCCCCATCACTAGTCACTTTCTAACTTCCTTATCCCGACTCCTTTCTATTCATAGCATTATCTCCATCTGACATTTCCCCCAGCTAAGAAATAAGCTCTACAGGGCCTGTGTCTGTGGCACTCACTGCTGATCCCCAGTGCTTAGAACAGTGCCCGGCACATGGCAGGTCGTCAAGTGATCTGCACTAACTGATAAAGAAGTCAGACTGTGCGCGTGGTTTTCCTCCCAAACGAGAGCTCTGAAAGCAGACTCTTCTTCTGCACCTTCCACAGCACCTGTTAACAAACTGGATGCTGAGCAAGAGCTCAACAAATGCCTCTAAACGGAACTGAATTGAGGTCAATTCTGTTTCTGGTAGCATCACTCTGAAGGGAGTGTTATAATTATTGCAGCTACGCAGATGACATTTCTGCCTCCTATAAACACACAGCCATCATCTCAAATGTACTTCTTTACTAGATGTGTCAGAACACACAAGCCTCTTCTAGGCTCCGAACTATAAACATAAATGAGAATACTCGCTTTTTCTCAGGTAGCTCTCAGTCAAGGGAGGGAGACTGACCTATAAACAAACAATGGTAACGCAATGTGGTAAGTGCAACTATAGTGATAGGCACGAGGCGTGCACGAGTACAGGCACGCTAGGGGCACCTCGTCACTCTGGGGTGGGTGTGGCTGGGCAAGGTCTGAAAGGTGTTTAGGGATGAATAGGAGTTCATCGGGGAAATGAATCACGGGGGACCGACGGGCAGAGGCATTTAAGGTATAGGAGAAAGTGAGTACAAAAGGGAGAGTGGTCCAGGAACAGCAAAAGGGAATGAGATTGAACAGAGCAGGAGGCAAATCATAAAATCTGTTTAGTTTTATGTGCAAGATAATCCACTGGGAAGTAGAAAATTAAAAATGCTTCTGTTTGCATGTCTTTGAAATATAATATTTGTTATGCGACAGGCTCTGGGGCCCTCCTGTCATCAGCACGGCACACAGTCACACGTCCCAATGGAGACGGAGGTGGGCGGTCAGCGACCCGATGCTGCCCTCTCCGCTCGATTGGTCAGGACAGCCGGCAGTGCTTGCTGCACAGTCCAGCGTCACCCACGGGCCTCAGAGAAGGACAGTGGCTCTTATATGATTTCTAAGAAACCCAGATTGATGCTAATACTACCCATATAACACATTCTGTCTCTCTTTACACACACACACCACAGACAACAGAATAATGATATGGCCGACATTTCCAGTCCCAACACAAACTCTACATCATACATTACCAGAATTTTTAAAAATCACATAATCATAAATAGTGTTCTACACTGATTATTACTACATATCATCTTTTTCAGGAAAAATAAAAAGATTTTTTTGGCAGTTCAACGAAATTTTAAAAGTATCGAAATACTATTTCATCTTCAAATGTATTTTGGAGTGTGTACCTTTACAATGTCCTATGTATATGAGTACATATACATGATATACACATAATATATACAGAAACAGGCGTTTCGTGGGTGTTTCCTTGGACTTTTTACTGGAAGGTTACACAATCGAACAGGCTCGAGGACCACCGCCGTGGGCAGCGGGAAGACAGCAGGCTGAAGCCTAGGATGAGACGGTCAGATCTGTGGCTGGAGCTGAGAAGGTCAGAGGGGACAGGCTGGACGGGGTAACCCTGTCCCCGCGCAGGCCAGAGCGCTGCGTGCCTGGGTTAAAAGGGAGGGGAGCTGATGGAGGGACACGAGTGATTTGGTTTCCGACTGTAGACTCCAGGAGCACACACTGCCGTGTCATTAGCTGCCATTCCCCAAGCGGCTGCGGTGGGTTCACAGAGATGTGCAGACTAAGTGAGGGGTACATGCGAGCAGTGGGAGAGCTGAGCGGGCGGCGGGGTGTCACCGACGGGGAGGGAGGCGCAGGAGCACCTCTAGAGCGGCGCTGGGAGCGGTCTGCCTCCAACCCTTTCCCAGTTGCTCTATGTTCAAACTAAACGCAGCAAAAGCCCAGAAAGGGAACAGTCACCAACTTTTACAAATTTACTCAGAGATAAAAACCAACATGAAAAAATATACAAACACATGATTAGTTTTCTGGAAATGATCTTTGATGGAGCCACAACGTATCAGGATAAACTGTGTTAAGGAAGGAGAATCCATTAGACACAGCTTATTAGCGCGGAGTGAGAGCAAATGCAGGCAGACGGCACGTGTATTTTCAGTGCAAAGAGAAACCCACTCGATTGTATTATAAACTATAGTTTAGATTTTGTACTTACACAGACCGGATGATGATTTCAAATGTATAAACAATAGCAGGCAAATTTTATTTTTTTCAAGATGAAGTAAAATGTTTCAGTATTTGAGATTTAGAATCAGGAAAAAAAAAAAAAAAAGTGAATAGCCCTGGCCGGTTTGGCTCAGCAGTTAGAGCGTCGGCCTGCGGTCCAGAGAGACCCGGGTTCAGTTCCCACTAAGGGCATGTACCTGGGTTGCTGTTTGTCCCTGGCCCTGGTTGGGTCGTATGGATGGCAGCCACTCAATGTATCCCTTTCACATCGATGTTTTTTTTTTTCTCTTTCTCTCTTCCTTTCTCTCCCTCCCACTCTATCTGAACAAAAAATGGAAAAAATGTCCTCAGGTGAGGATGAAAAAACAAAAAACAAAAAACGTGAATATATCCAAGGGAGATTTTAAAAAGATGAGGAAAGGCAAATCCGTGGTGGGTGAGAGAAGCTAGTATACTTTCAGATCCTGCCCTAACCTCAGACATGCTGGGTACCTAGCCAGTATTTGATGGTGACTTGGGGAAGAAATAAAGGAAGGAAGGGAGGAAGGAAGGAATTCTACAACTCCATCTTTGTGGGCGCTGACAGTGCAGCATGATAGGTATATCGGGTACAGTTGGACAATTCTTACATTCGTACGACCCCGAATGTTGGAGATACATGATGTACCCCTTCCCCAACTCTGCTACACAGGGCACTCGGTGTTCCGTGTCAGCCCTTCGCAGAACAGTGCCCCGCATGGGTATGTTTTATGATCTGGAACAGGTATGTTAGCAGATGTAGGATCAACCCACTTTGCATAGATATTTGAGATGCTATAAAAAGCAAAAGTCTTAGTTATGTTCTCTCAGAAAAGATAAAAATTATGACGAGGGCGAAAAGACAGCTGCTCCGAAATTCAATGATTTTCAATGAAGCATCAACAGTGATAAAAGGAGACAAGTCCGCCTTATGAGTGGACCGGTCCCTGGACTGGGGCATGAAGTCGCTACACTGTACTTGCCAGCATTTTAAAAACAGGAGTCATACTGACTATCTTCGAGGGGTAGCACCACGTAAAGAGCATCAGCTGGAAAACCATAGACAAAATGTGTTCATCTTTCTCCTGCAGAGAAATTAACTTTCTCCAGCTTCAAAGTTTGTTTGGTAACCTGTTTACTCCACACCAAATGAATTCCTTCATTGCGTAAAGGAGTCACAGTTGTCTGGATTTTATAGTTACTTGTGACCTACAGGTTATTTATTAAAATGTCCATTACAAGGTAGAAATCCTTTTAAAGGCAACGTTGCTACAGGATCAAAGAGTCAGGACCCTCTGAAAGGGGAGTAATTCACTCCATATGCCCGAAAGACTCATGTTCTGTAGTCTCTCTCTAGACCAGACTTCTAGTGAAAAAAGAAAAAGATTGTGTTTTTAGGTTCATAAAAACTTGAGTTCCTCTTCCCAGCATAGAGGACTTTTAGAAAGGCTATTTGTGGACTGATAAAGATGAAATTTAAACATACACAATTACCCTGGCTGGTTTAGCTCAGAAGTTAGAGCGTCAGCCCAAGGACCGAAGAGTCACGGGTTCGATTCCCAGTCAAGGGCACCTACCTGGGTTGCAGGTTTGATCCCTGGCCCTTGTTGGGTTGTGCAGGAGGCAATCAATTGTGTATCTCTCACGTTGATGTCTCTCTCTCTCTCTCTCTCTCCCCCCCTTCCACTCTATCTAAAAATAAATTTAAAAATATCCTCGGTGAGAATTTAAATAAATAAATAAATAAATAAATAAATAAATAAATAAAATGACATTTTTTAAAAAAGTAAGTTGAAGATTTTGATGTACCAAGTATCAACTAAAATTTAAACTCTTCTGATCAAGGGGAAAAAGCAAGGTGGAAAACAATATTAAGACGATGTCAACTATCACAATACATGCCATTTAACTTAATTTAAAATAAAGACAGTGAGAGAGTGAGTGTATTAAATGCAATTTACTAGTAACATTAGAACCTCATGCTCAAAATAATTTGATATAGTTCATAGAAGACTGCTGTTTGCTCACCTTTTCATAAACCTTCTTGGCATTGTCATTATCTCCTATCAGGAGATACCCCACTCCAAGGTCATTCTTTAAGGAAGTGTCATCAGGAAATAGTTCAACTAATTTCTGCAGTGTAACAAGAGAACCTCTCATATGACCTGATTTTGTGGGAAGAGAAAAAAAAAAAAAAGATTCCAATAGAAATAAAAACAAATTATGTACACTTTTATTTTGAGGTGAAAATCCAGACAGGCTATGCAACAGATCCTGAGGTCAGCTTAAATTTGACCCTATAAGCAGATGGCTAAACTGTTAGGATTTCATCACACGTCTGCAATGGTATCAGTAACTTCTATAAACAGCTACTAAATATAATACTGACTATAAACACTTTAAAGACATTCTATTTTCTAAATTCACCAACATTTACTTTTTTATATTAAATTCAGTCTTAAGAAAGTTTCAGCTACCAATTCCTTGTAAAGGAAAGTTTTACTGAGATAGTTTTGGTTTATTATGATTAGCTCTAAAATTATTAATAGAGAACAGACAAATCACAGATCTACCCAATGTCAGGAGCTGGAGCCCTGTATGAAACGTGAAGAGGCTCCGAGGTATAAGGTTGACATTGTTTACAATCGAGAGTGTCCCCATCTCTAGGTAAAGACCTATTCATGTGGCAAAGGAGACATCATCCGGTATTATGGGACCCTCTGGTGGACGATAGGGTACTTTGCACACATGAATCACGAAAGCCCTAGCTTCAATTCATTTCTAAGGCGATGTGATGAAAATTTAAAATTTCTGGGCCCATCCCTTCTCAGCCTTTTGGCTAAGATCAAGTGTAAAATTTCTGGGCCCAGTTGTTATTACTCCTCACCAAAGTTGGGAAGACAAATTGAATATGAGGAAATTGCAAGATAAGGCTAGTAACAGGACAAAATTAATTACTTAAAGGGCCCAGTTGCCCACATACTGAATATTAGCCAAGAGCATTTTAGGACCATCAATAGCTAGTGCTCCACTAACAGATAAACTATTGGGCACAAAATATCACCAACCTGTCCCCTGGCTGACCCCCCTGTTACTGGCCAAGCTGGGAGGGGTTTGCTCAGCTATTCATTCCTGCACTGACAAGTCTGACTCAGTATCCCTTCTTTCCCCCACCGACCCAGACTAACCTCACACTTTTCTCCTGTTTCTAAACTTTCCCCACGGCCACTGCAAAGCCCCAGGCGGAAACCCCTCCAGTGCCACAGCCCCGCACTGTCCCTCGCACTCTGCTGTTCGAATGTGCGTGGACTTCGTCACGTGGGTCCTCCACTGACAAGTGCGCACGACTCCCTCCTCAGAGCCTCCTGCTCACTCCGAAGGGAGGGCTCGGGTGGGAGACTGCTGGGAGCAGGGCTGGGTTTGGCCCCAGGCCGTCTTTCCCCAGGGCTGGGCACAGAGGGAGGCACGTGGGAGGCACAGTGCAAAGCTCAGGGGGTGCCAGACACCCAGACATCCAGATGACGGATGGCCGTGTATCCTTTTTAAATATCAAACCTAATGTAAAACTCTATGATGGACTAAATATCGAAGTTTTAAGGACAGAATCAGTCCCCAGAGCGAAGCAGAGCCATTCTGGAGCCTGAGGCCAGAGGGCGACTCAGTCACACTGGCACTGTCCCCAAGACGAGTCCTCCACTCAGTCCCAGCCCCGCCTTCCCTGGACGGCATGCCGTGCGCTTCCCTCCCACGGAGCCAACCCTCAGGAATATACGACTAACTGACCATCTCTTCTGTTTTTAATCATCATGTGGGTCATGTCCTTTCAGAGATTTTGGTCACCTAACAAAGTGATATACCACCTTTAATTGCATCCCTCAGAAAACTGATGAAAGGATCGGTTGGCCCGGAATATTACTTAACATGAGCTTCTCCTGTGACATCGATAATTCATTCACATAGCTACCCCAGCCAGCCTAGCACCCCCCTTAGCACGGGCTTAGATTCTTCCTTCCCGGTTGACAGAAGACAAGTTAGGAGGGAGCGATCCCAGCCTGGTTATAATGAAGGTAGGTTCCAGCTAGTCCTACTGCCTTTGGCTCTGGGAACCTGGGTCACTCAGAGGAGATGCTTTATGCTGCTCTTTTCAAAGCACTTAGTGATTAAAACATTTTTTTCTGTCCTTTTCCTTGGTACAGAGTCAAACCTTACAAGTGAAATGTTGGAGTACCTAGAACTCTTACTATTCCTCTGTGAATATTGTCCCACTGACCATTTTAATCTCCACGAATCAGATTGTTCTAGTTAAGAAAGAAAATAATTTGCTGGGACAGGAGAGAGTTTTTGACTCTAGCATATTAATGTATTAGCTACAACTCCTCAGGCAAATTCTCTGGCCTCTCCACATTCCATTTATGTGAGCTTAAAAATGGGTGGAGTAGGGGCGACCCACTTGGGTCCCCTCCTCACAGCGGGAATCTGTGTCTTTTTCAAATAAACTTTGTTCTCATTTGACAAAACTAACACCTGGCCAGCACGGCTCAGTGGACTGAGCATTGTCCCATGGACTGAGAGGTCCTGGTTCGATTCCTGGTCAGGGCACATGCCCTGGTTGCAGGCTCGATCCCCAGTGGGGGGCTTGCAGGAGGCAGCCGATCCATGTATCTCTCCCACATTGATGTTTCTCTTTCTAAAAAAATGAATAATAAAAAAATAAATAAATAAAGTCCTCTAACACATATTCTTCTTCTTTTTTAATTTAATTTATTTTTGTTACAGATGTTTCTCCTTTTTCCCCCACTGATTCCCCCTTCCCCACCCTCCCCACCCATTCCCCAGCTTTGTTGTCCATGTCCATTGTTCATGCATACATGCATTTAAGTTCTGTGGTTTATCTCTGCCCCCCACCATTCCCTCTTCTGGGGACTGTCAGTCTGTACCCCACTTCCACGTCTCTGGAACTACCCCAATCCTCAGACTGTTATGTTCATTATATTCCACAAATAAGTGAGATCATGTGATACTTGTCTTTCTCTATGTGGCTTGTTTCACTTAGGATAATACTCACCAGGTCCCTCCATGTCATCTCAAAGATAAGAGATCTTTCTTTAAAAAAAAATTGGATGGAGGGGCTGAAGAGTGAAGGGAGGCATCTTCGCAGTTATCAAGGTTAGGGTTACTATTTCAGTCTAAGAAACAGGCAAATCACTGAACTTAGTTACAGAACTTTCATGTAACCAGACTCTTCTAAGAACACACAGAGCCTCAGGTAAGGTAAAACCATAACATGTGCCGCTGAATTAACTTCTCTTGCCTCTCACCTAGGAACTGCTGTCTCTCTGACCTCCGCTTCAAACTCAGCTTCACCAGGCCCGCGGGGACGTCGGGCAGGCTGGCCACCTCCTGGTAGGTCTCGATGGCCTTGCGCAGCACCTCGTTGCTCCTCTTCTTCTCAGCCAAGTCGTCTTCACACTGGAGCAAGTCCCACACAGAAGACACGTCCCATGACAAGGAATATTTGTTATCACCCAAGATAGTCCCCAAAACTTAACTTTTGTACATGCTTAAAAAATAATTCAAAATGGATTAAAGTTTTCTCTTTATCAAAAGATAAAAAAAGAAAAAGCAATACAACATGCTATTTTAAATATATATTTTTAAATTTATTTTTATTGATTTTAGAGAAAGAGGAAGGGAGAGGGTGAGCAAGATAGAAACATCAATATCGACTGGCTGCCTCCTGTACGCCCCACACTGGGGGTTTGGCCCACAACCTGGGCATGTGTCCTGACCGGGAATCGAACTGGCGGCCTCTTAGTGCGACACTCAACCACTGAGCCACAGTGGCTGGACAACATGCTATTTTAATAACAGGGAGGAAGGTTAGCTACTAAGCTACAGACAAGAAAGAATATCATAAAAGCAAGATTAATATATGCTAGAATGCATGAACATCATGCAGACGGGACTCCAGTCCACCACTCCTGTTCTCCCATCAGTTTATTCTTGTGTTCATTCATTCATTCATTCATTCATTCATTCAACAGCCACTTTCTGGGAGCCAGGCTGTGTTCCACGCATGCAGTAGACACCATGAACAGACCAGACAAAGCCCTTTTCCCATTTCCCTTCATTCTGGAAAGGACAGGAGGACAATACACCAGTCAGGGTACTGTGTGACTGGTGGCCCTAAGTGCTGTGGAAGAAAAGGAAGCAGGTTTAGCAGGCTGGGAGTGGGGCTGTAGGGAAGATGTCCCTTTCATCAGAATGATCAGGGAGGGTCTGCAGGGAAGGAGGACGTTGAGGGAAGACCTCCAGGCAGAGAACAGCCAGCGCAGGCTGTGAGGCAGAAGTGAGGAAGAGAGGAAAGGCTGGTGGAGGAGGGGAGCAGGAGGAGATGATGGTAGGGGGGTGTCAGGTAGGAAGAACCTGGTGAGCTATAGCCGGCTCTGCTACACTAACTCTACAGTAGATGGAAAGACACGGGGCTTCAACGTGATCTGAGGTGCGTGTTGTGGGTCACGCTGGCAGCAGTATGAACAGGTTGAGCTGGGTGGGGGAGAAGCAGGGAGCTCAGGGTGCTCCAGCAGGATTCCGAACAAGGGGTGCTGGCTTCACCCAGGGTGGTGGTAATGGAAGTGGTAGGAAGTGGTCGGGTTATAAATGCATTTTGAAGGTCAGAGCCGCCAGATCTGCCGATGGTCTGAATGCAGGGTATGAGAGAAAGGGAGAGAGACGTTAATGAGGATTCGAGGTTTGGGGCTTCAGCATTACCAGATGGACCTGTCATTCCTCAAGAATGGAAAGACAGAGTAGAAGCAACGCATAGAGTCAGGAATTCAGCTCTGGACACATTAAACCCCAGTGCTTATTAGGTATGCACGTGGAGATTCTGGATAGGAGGAAGCATACAGGAGTCTGGGGTTCGGGAGGGAGGTCACAGAAAGGGACATACACCGGAGAACTGTCAGGACAGAGATGGCTTTTAAAGCTAAGAAGCTAGCCCTGGCCAGTTTGGCTCAGCGGTTAGAGCGTTGGCCTGCGGTCTGGAGAGACCCGGGTTCGGTTCCCGCTAAGTGCACGTACTTCGGTTGCAGTTTGTCCCCGGCCCTGGTTGGTCGTGAGGGTGGCAGCCACTCGATGTGTCCCTTCACGTCGATGTTTCTCCCTCTCTCTCCCTTCCTCTCTCTCCCTCCCACTCTATCTGTACAAAAAATGGAAAAATATCCTCGGGTGAGGATAAAAAAAAAAAAAAAAAAAAAAAAAATAAAGCTAAGAAGCTAAAAACATTTCTGAGTGTAGACAGAGAAAAGTAGAGGTCCAAGACCCGAGCTCTAAGGAACTGCAATGCTTCAAAGTCACCACAGGTCAGGAAGACAGTGGAGGACCAGCATAAAAGGACAGAGAAGGAGGGAGGAGAAAGGAAAATAACAACAAAAAGTGGTGTCCTGGACACAAAGTGACGAACGTATCCAGGGGGAGTGAGCAGTCGTATTAGAAGAGGCTGTCAGGGTGGGCGAGATGCTGGGCTGGGCAGTGTGCAAACTCTGAGCTCCGGGCAAAACATTTCCATGACTACCTGGGACTCGTGATGGAAGGGAGTGGGTTCAAGAGAAAAGGGGTGCAGACAACTCTTCCAAGGAGTTTTGCTATAAAGGGAAGCGAACAAAAGGGCCAGTAAGTGAAGGGGGATGTGGAGACAAGAGAGGCGTCTTTTTTAAACCATGGAAATATGACATGTTTCTAAGTTGACGTGAAAGGCTCTGTAGAGAGGGCTAATCTGGGGATGCAGAGGGGGACAGAAAAATTAGAACAGGGACTAGAACCGGTCCTCCGTGCTAACAGGCAGATACACGGGCGCGAGTGCGGGCAGGCTGTTAGTGCCGTGGGGAATCATGGGAAGTGCTCTGTGAAAACTTCCATTTTCTTGGTGAAATGAGTAACATTTGTAGCAAGTGACCAAGAACAGTGAGTGAAATACTAGAGACAGGAAGACAGAGGAAAATGTCTAACGTGGTCATCAAAATCTCACCAGATTTAGTAGACTCAAGTTGAAGATTACATTTAGTTTGATGCTTAAAGTAGCACATACGGTTTTTTTCCTCAAAATACCCTATTTCATATGTTTACTTCATTTAAATAAAGTATGTGCTGTAGTTAATATACAGGTTAGGGCAAAAACGTAGGTTCACAGTTGTGTGGAAAACAATACAATAGTTAATAAAGAATAATACAGAAATAAGCTCTATTTCGCATACTCACAACTGCAGACCTACTTTGCCCCCGCCTGTATAGATGTCTGCAAAATAAAGCATAACTCCACAATTTGAGGACATGGTGAGAAAATGATTCATCCCTTCCTTCACTCCAAAATGCAAAATGAATAGGAATCATCACACATTGATAAAATATCAGTGGAAAGCTTTTCAGAAAATAACACATAAAAAAACTAGTTAACATGCACTGATTATGATGAGTTTCCAAGATGATGGGGGCTAGAACTGAAGCAGTGGAGACAGAGAGAAGTGGGCAGATTCATGAGAAAAACTGATTAGACAAAAATCTCTGGATTATGAAAGGGTAATTCACTCCTGCTTGATAGAAACAAGCATCAGGGCACACAATCATCTATCCAAACCTGTGAACGGTGTCCACAATAGCTTTATCTACCAGAAGAGGACGTCCAACATCAATGACCCATAGAAGTGATCCTGACTACATGGCTTCCAAGTATTCATATGCTGGCTTCTCGGTTTAGTCATCAGTTTGCTGTGAGTCTAGCTATGGAGAGTTAACTCCCTGAAAATATGACGGCTTATAGATGACTTTGCAGGATGCCAGAGCCCAGACCTGACAGAGCCTTCTGAGACCACTGAGTTCACAGTCTTCACTTGGTAGCCTCTTCAAGCTACCAAATACATCCTGGAACTGGAGGGTCTCTTCAAGGTTAGTGTAAGGACAAATGTCTACCAAGATAATCCTTCTTTAGAGAGAGAGGAATATATAAACTTCATTTGAAAAGAGAGAAAAAAATGATACAATCTATATGCCTTGTTTCCATCCCACCCCCACCCCACCCAAGGTCCTTCATTTTAATGACTATAAACATTTTACAACTTCCAATACTGGGACAATATCAGTATTCGAATGGCACCTAATTCTTTAAAATATCCTGAACAAAAATGATAGCCTTTGCTTTGAAATTCAAAATTATACAGATTGATTTTTACCAGTTCAGCATCTGTAGATAAATCAATTTGAGCTGACACTGAGCACTGGTCCCAGGGCATTAACATTGCAAAGCCTTTTGTTGACTTAACCCATCCAACCTTCCTGGGAGATGTGTCATTTTCTGCCTCACAGACATTAATGGTCCGTGCAAGAGAATAATGTGAATTGAGTTTATAATTTAAGATTTTGTGTCTGATGTTCAGAGAACTTGGTCAAAATTGATTTTCACAGTGATCCAAAGAATAAAACTGCTACTTTAGAAATGACTAATAGTATAATTTGTATTTCACTTAATGTTGCTGAAATACATATTTATTTTTTTTATCCTCACCCGAGGACATTTTTCCATTTTTTGTTCAGGTAGAGTGGGAGGGAGAGAGAGGAAGAGAGAGAGAGAGAGAGAAACATCGACGTGAAAGGGACACATCGAGTGGGTGCCACCCACATGACCCAACCAGGGCTGGGGACAAACTGCAACCAAGGTATGTGACAAGCGGCAACTGAACCCGGGTCTCTCTGGACCGCAGACCAATGCTCTAATGGCTGAGCCAAACCAGCCAGGGCCTGAATTATATTTTTTTAAATGTTTTTATTGATTTTTTTTTTTTTTTGAGAGAGAGAAGACAGAGAGAGATAGAAACATCGATGTGAGAGAGAAACATCAATCTGCTGCCTCCTGCGCACCCGTCACTGGGGATCAAGCTTGAAACCCAGGCATGTGCTCTGACTGGGAATCGAACCAGGGGATGATGCTCAATCCACTGAGCCACACTGGCCGGGCTGTTGCTGAATTTTTAAAACTTGTTGGGGTATTCTAAAGTAATTATTTAATATACTAACAAAGAATGAAAAAGTCATCATTTATTCCTCCTGTTAAATTTACCTTCTGTTTCCCAGCCAGAGGGGCCCAGTTGGTGGAGCACAGTCCTGTGCACCGAAAGGCTGCCAATTTGATTCTTGGTCAGGGCACACCCCTGGGTTGTGGGTTCAGTCCCCGGTCTGGGAATGTTTGGAAGGCAACTGATCAATGTTTCTCTCTCACATCAATCTTTCTCTCTTTTTCTCTCCCTTCCTCTTGCTAAGCATGTCCTTGGGTAAAATTTTTTTTTTAAATCTATATTCTGTTGAATTTTTATTTTGAAAATTCCTATGCATTTTATTTATTAATTGTTTTGGAGACAGAGGAAGGAAGGGAGAGAGAGATAGAAACATCTAAAAGAGAGCACATTGATTGGCCGCCTCCTGCATGTCCCCCACTGAGGATCAGGCCCACATCTTGGGCATGTGCCCTGACCAGGAATCAAACAAGTGACCTTTTGGTGCATGGGTCAATGCTCAACCAGTGAGCCACACCAGCCAGGCTCCTATGCACTTTAAATATCCTTTAGCCTGGCTGGTGTGGCTCAGTGGTAAAGCACGACCCATGCACCAAGAGGTCACCAGTTCCATTCCTGGTCAGGGCACATGCCCAGGTTGTGGGTCAAATCCCCAGTGGGGCGCATGCAGGAGGCAGCCAATCAATGTTCTCTCTCATCGATGTTTCTATCTCTTTCTTCCTCTCTAAAAAAATCAATAAAAGAAAAAAAATAAAATTAAATAAACTTTAAATTATTCTATTAAAATTTAATTTACCATGCCTAAATTTTACTTTACATCACAATAACATAAATATCAATAACACCATGCAGCATACTAGTTTAGAGATAGAAAAATATTGCCTGAGGCCTAAACCTCAAATTTCTACTGTTACCTGTGGATACAAATAAAGTAATCACCATATGCAAAAATTAGTGCATTTATTTGGATTTTGGTACCCATAATTAATATCACATATAAAGAAAAATTCTAAAGCACAAAACATTTCTGCCATAATTTAACTAACATTTACATCAATCATTATTCTCTGTAGTCAATATGCTTTTCTTAACCAAATGGCTATCATCAGTACTAGTGACAAAGCACATCACTTATTTCCATGGGCTCGATCTTTTGGAAACACGTTTTGTCTGGCTTGATAGCAATACAATTTAGCAATTTTGCAGGGTTTCTGACCAAATTAACTTACAAAAATGATATAGCTGTTGTCTGCTAAACCTAGTCTGTAACATGGATATGAGGAATTTACTTGCATTAATGTTATATAACCTTAAGTCATTAACATTTAATCATTATGTTTTTCATGGGGAGGTGGGAAGAACTTGAGCATCTGGATCTTGAGTGGTCACCACATTTATTCAGGGGAAACACTTGTTTTATCTATAAATGTGTGAGTTCCTGCACGACCGTCTTCAGTGACCACACTGACTCCCTGCAGAGAGGCGCGGATTGCCTCTCCGTGGTCTGGACGACTTTCCTGGCGCTGCACCACTGTCTCCCCGCAGGGCCGAGAATCGGTCTCCAGCTACGAGGTTCACTGCCTATATCCGTATATCAGCCCTGGCTTTACCCCGAGTTCAGACTCCGCGAACCCATGTTCTGCTTGACACGTCCACCTGAATGTCAGACAGGCTCCACAGACCTAACAGGACCAAAACCAAACTCTGTTCTTTTCCTCAGTCATCCTGGTCAGTAATCAGCACTGTCCTTTCCTCACATGGCCAAACCAGAAACCCAGGGATCACCCTAAACTGCTCTCTTTCTCTGACCTTGCAGCGAATCCACCACCAAGTGCTTTCGGCCCTGCTCTCTGCCCAGTTCCCCATCTCCATGGCCACGACCGCGGTCTGGGCCGCAGCATCTCCAGTGCACTTGCCAACAGTCTCCTGTTCTTGTTTCTAGTTTTGTCCCATAATCCATTCTCCACCCAGCAACCAAAGCAAACGCTATGAAAACAAGAAGGGTAGTCACACCCAGGCATAAACCCTCCAATGGCTTCCCCGTGTGTAGAGCATGTCCTACTTCACTGGCCCTCAGCAGCCCCTCTCTCTGTCCGGGAGCTTATTATGCCAAGATCCACCCCTGCTCGGAGGCCTCTGCCCTGCTGTTCCCTCTGCCCGTCAGCTCCTTCCACAACCTTGTCACGTCCCAGCCACTTGCTCCTCCCTACAGGCCTTTTCTGGTCCCTCCTCTAACGTGCTGTCTGCCCTGTCACGTCAGCTGCAGCCCAAATCTGAAGAGGAAGGCCCTCTGTCTCACTGCCGTCTTTTCTTGTGGCACATGTCATATAGCAAGTGTATACATCTGACTTACTTGTCTCATGCACTGTCTTTGCCATTACAACGAGAACTCCTTGCATTGTTCATGGCGGCATCTGCCTACACAGGGCCTGGCATGCACAGGTTTTCATGGAATAATTTTTTAAAATATGTTTTTATTGATTTTTTTTTAGAGAGAAAGGAAGGGAGAGAGTGATAGAAACATCGATGCGAGAGAGAAACATTGATCAGCTGCCTCCTGCACACCCCCAACTGGGGATTGAGCCCAAAACCTGTGCCCTGACCGGAAATCGAACTGGGACCTCTCAGTCCATTGGATGATGCTCAATCCACTGAGCCACACTGGCCGGGCTCACTGAATAAGTTTTGAGCAAGCAACTTTTAAAATGTCCTCTACTGGGATATAAAATCCACCAGGACAGAGACCGCTGGAGTGTCCACAGCAAGCCCAGGGCCGGCGCGGGGCGTGGCACAGGGCGGGTTAATGCAGCTACAGATGAGGGGGGTGAAGTGTCATGAAATGAGGAGCTGGAGGAGGAGAAAGTCAGACACAAACAGGTGGTGGGAGTGGGAGACAGGGAGAAGGTAGCTGGTGAGACAGAAGTAGCTGGAGGAAACTAGAGAGAACACAAATTCATTTCACTTGAGAATTTCAAAGTCTTTCCTAAGCAACCACTCATTATAAAACAGGTTCTTAAAGCTCTCAGGAGTCTAATGTGGAAATCATAAGGTGGGTCTAAATGGAATGGAATGGGATGGTAATGGGAAATCAATGACCAAAATGTCATCTTTATTTTCTTTTCAAAACCAGAGAGATGCCATATGGAGGGGGGCACAGAAAAATGCTACTAAATGGACTGGAACGGGCGGGTGATGGGAAATCAATGACCAACGTATTATTCTTTATTTTCTTTTCAAAACCAGAGAGATGCTATATATGAAGGGGGGCAAGAGGGCAGAAAAATGTTTCTACATTCAGCTTTACCCAACAGCAATAATTAATTGTCTTATTTAAAACACTATTTCTTGTTTGCGTTAATGCATATACATGAGAAATAGATTCTGTATAAAAGTTAGAAGAGAAAAAGAAAATGCAAATACATAGCGGGTGGTGAGAAATCCAATTACACGGAACACAAGGACATCGAAAACAGTTATCTAAGTGAAGGGTTCTACAATACCTGTGCCTTCCCATATCTGGCCCGTGGACTCTGAGGGTATTTACGAATTAGTTCTTCAAATGCAGTCACTGCTTCCTCAATTTTTCCCTGTTAGGAAGAGGTAATTACAGAAACACAATAAATTCAAATGCATAATGCTATTCAATATAGTTATTAATTATTCACCAAGTAATTCTGTCAAGATTTCCTGGACTCCACTCTGAATTTAAAGACAGGTGTATCGCCCAGCTGGTGTGGCTCAGTGGTTGAGCATCAACCCATGCACCAAGAGGTCACCAATTCAATTCCCAGTCAGGGCACATGCCCAGGTTGTGGGCCCAATCCCCAGTGGGGGACATGCAGGAGGTGGCCAATCGATGTTCTCTCTCCAAAAATCAATAAAGAAGAATAAAAATTTTATATAAATAAATATAAATTCAGATATATCTAAGATTTAAAAAAATTAACTATATTATGGAAACATAAAACTAGAAGTGCATATAAATGTATTTTATTTTTTAAGCACATATTTTTATTGTTTTATCTTTATTGTTGAAAGTATTACAGCTGTGTCCCCCTTTTACCCCACTGACCCCCTCCTCCTCACTCCTACACCCCTCCTGCTCTCCCCAAACTACTGTCTGTGCCTATTGGTTATGCATATATGCGTATAAGTTCTTTGAATATACTTTATCTTTTAAAAGACAGAAACCTGACAAATGATGCAATATGAGTCATCATTAAACAAATTGCATTTTTCCTCTCTCTCTACATGCCTACATGCATTCTTAAAGAAATTCCTACATGCATTCCTACATGCATTCTTAAAGAAAAATATTCAGGTTTTAAGTTGGGGACAGATCCTACTGGCAGTGAGAATGACTTGGGTCTGTGATGAGCAGTCAAGCACCCATGCAAATGGCAGGGAACAAGTATGCAGGATGCCAGGGCCATCGGCTCTGCTTCCTGTCACCCACTGGACATCAGGGTCAATGGGGCTCATCTGGCTTCCTGGAGTGCCTGGCTGCCTCAGCGTCATGTGACCCCTCGCAGAGCTCACATGGGCCCTTAAGAAGATGGGTGGAGCCTGGCGTGTGGCTGTGGTTGAGCATTGACCTATGCACCAGGGGGTCACTGGTTTGATTCCCAATCAGGACACATGCCCAGGTTGCAGGCTTAATTCCCAATGGGGGGCATGCAGGAGGCAGCCGATCTATGTTTCTCACATTGATGTTATAAAAAAAGAAAAGACAGGCCAAGCTCCGTCAGTGGGTCTCTGACCACCACTGCACAGAAAGGAACAGGTACACTTGCTGAGGGTCTTGGCATGGGGCTAAGGGATCCTCTCCCCACCTCAGTCATCAGCACCCTTCCACAGGGTCACACACGCGTGTCCCAGTTTCTAACAAATGGCAGCAGGTCATGGATATTTGAAGCCATGGGATAGAGACAGATTTTCTGAGTTGAACTTTCCCAGACCCTCAGTTCCCTGTGAATTGATAAATCCATCCAGTTCACATGTAAATACAAGCTCACTGCAGTTTCTGGTTTTGCCCCTTATGGAGTGAGTTTTCATGCAGCAAAGTTCACCTTGCGGTGTGGCTAGGCGAAGCAAACCCTGCAGCCTACCAGCGGTCACTTGCACCTACATCCAGAGACAACCTCCACGTCCAAGTTCCTTGCAGCTACTCCTCCACCCTCACAGGGCTGGTGGAAAGCAGACGCACAGTGCAGTGTTCCGGGCTCAGGCCCGAGCCAGGCTGACTGTGAGCGCCTGGGCTCCCCACTTGGAAGGTGTGTGCCTATGACTAATACTGATGACTTTGCCTTAGGTGCCTCATCTGCAAAATGGGGATCGTGAGGGCCCTTGACTACCTTGTGGGGCAGCTGTAAAGGTCAAATCCAGAAACATACATAAGGTGCTTATAGACACTACACAGAGCATAGAAAGCAATGAACAGTGTTACCTATTTTTGTTATTATTATTATTACTGTGGTGGGTGGGGGTGTGTGTGCCAGCACAAGATAATGGGGCTCACCCCAGATACGTCTCTGACCTGACAGACAGGTTAATGCAAAGTAAATGAGGACTTGGATATAGCGATAAATCAAGCCAGGAGCACATTCTCCAAGTTATAGTTCTTGTCAGAAGTAATTGTATCACTATTTAAAATACGCTATCCTCTCACAATACTTTTTTAGAGCGGTATTAGGTTCAGAGCAGAACTGAGAGGAGAGTATGGAGGTTTCACATACATCCCCTAGCCCAACACAAGCACAGACTCCCCCCATAACAAACACCCTGCACCAGCGGGGCACTTGGTTACAATCAATGAACCTACACTGACACATCATCACGCAGAGTCCGTGATTTCCCTTAAGGTTTACTCTTGGAGTTGTTCATTCTATGGGTTTACATAAAAAGATGAATGCGATGCATACTGTCTGTATCCACCGTCACAGAGTAGCTTCACTGCCCTAAAATAATTTTTCTATGCGTTGCCTATTTATTCCCCTCCTCTCCCCTACGCCCGCCCCACGACTCACCCCTGGAAACCACTGATCTTTTTACTGTCTCCGTAGTTTTGCCTTTTCCAGTACGTCATAAATTGGAATCATACAGTAGGCAGCCTTTTCAGATTAGCTTCTCTCACTTAATAATGTGCATTTACGGTTCCTCCACATCTTTTCATGGTTTGATATATCACTTCTTTTTTAAGTGCTCCGTAATATTTCATTGTCTTCATATGACAGTTAATTTATTCATTCACCTGCTAAAGGACATTTTGGTTGATTCCAAATTTTGGCAATTATGAATTAAGCTGCTATGTGCAAGTTTTTTTTTTCCAAAGAAATTTATTTATTTTTTTTATTAATTTTTTATTTTTTTTGTTACAGATGTTTCTCCTTTTTTACCCCCTTGGCACCTCCCTCCCCATCCCTCCCGCCCTGTCCCCGGCTTTGTTGTCCATGTCCATTGCTCATGCATACATGCATATAAGTTCTGTGGTTTATCTCTTCCCACCCCCCCACCCCCTCTTCTGAGGGATGTCAGCCTGTGCCCTACTTCCATGTTTCTAGATCTACTGTATTCCTCAGGCTGTTATGTTCATTATATTCCGTATATAAGTGAGATCATATGGTATTTGTCTTTTTCTGCTTGGCTTATTTCACTTAGGATAATATTTTCCACGTCCCTCCATGTAGTATTAAAGGATAAGAGATCTTTCTTTCTTACAGCTGCATAGTACTCCATTGTGTATATGTACCACTGCTTTTTTTATCCATTCGTCTACTGATGGACACTTGGGCTCTTGCCAGATCTTAGATATTGTAAATAGTGCTGCTATGAACATGGGGGTACATATATTCTTCCTGATAGGTGTTTCAGGCTTCTTAGGGTGTATTCCTAGAAGTGGGATCACTAGGTCAAATGGAAGTTCAATTTTTAACTTTTTGAGGTAACACCATATTGTTTTCCATAGTGGCTGCACCAGTCTGCATTCCCACCAGCAGTGTACTAGAGTCCCCTTTTCTCCACACTCTCGCCAACACTTGTTGTTTGATGATTTGTTGATGGCGGCCATTCTGACAGGTGTGAGGTGATACCTCATTGTGGTTTTAATTTGCATCTCTCTGATGATTAGTGATGTTGAGCATTTCTTCATATGTCTCTTGGCCATTTGTATGTATGTTCTGTTTGGAGAGGTGTCTCTTTAGGTCCTCTGCCTATTTTTCAATTGGGTTCTTTGTCTTCCTTTTGTTGAGTTGTATGAGCACTCTATATATATTGGAGATTAACCCCTTATCTGATATATCATTGGCAATGATGTTCTCCCATACAGTGGGTTGCCTTTCCATTGTGATGATTGTTTCTTTTGCTGTGCAGAAGCTTTTGAGTTTGATGTAGTCCCATGTGTTCATTTTTTCCTTTGTTTCTGTTGCCTTAGGTGATGTATCAGTGAAAATTCTGCTGCATATGATGTTCAAAACTTTGATGCCTACATTTTCTTCTAGAATTTTTATGGATTCACAGGTCACATTTAAGACTTTTATCCTTTTTGAATTTATTCTTGTGTATAGTGTAAGTTGATGGTCTAGTTTCATTTTTTTGCATGTAGCTGTCCAATTTTCTGAACACCATTTATTAAAGAGGCTCTCTTTACTCCACTGTATGCTCTTGCCACCTTTGTCAAATATTAATTGAGCATATTGCCTTGGGTCCATTTCTAAGTTCTCAGTTCTGCTCCACTGGTCTATATGCCTGTTCTTGTGCCAGTACCAGGCTGTTTTGATTACAGTCGCTTTGTAGTATAACCTGATATCTGGTATTGTGATCCCACCTACTTTGTCCTTCTTTTTCAAAATTGCTTTTTCTTGCAGTGCTGGTTTGGTGCTAATGTATTCCCTTAGCCTTTTTTTGTCTGGGAAGCTCTGAATTCTAGCTCTGTTAATTTTCCTAACTGCTCCACACTGATCTCATCTTCGGTGGAGGTCTCTTGTTCTTTCATTTGGCTTCTGTTTCTGTGTTTCACCATTTTGGCTATCACTGTGGGCTTTGGAGCCTGTCAAGTTTTCCCTGTGGGTGCTGGTGTTCTGCTGTTTGTGGCTCCCTCTCCTGGGTTTAGATGAGCGAGGGAGGACCCACATTACACACCACTGTCAAGTCTTACTTTCTTGGTTAATGTTGCTAGCCCAGGAAAGGTACTGTTATCCTGTAGCTTTTTGCCTGGAGGCTAGCAGTCCAGGTTACTTGAAGAGTTTTGGGTTGTCAGTTGATTGAAAAACTCCCTCAGGTGCTCAGCATAAGGGAATTTCCCAAAGGTGGGGCAGATGCTGGTTGTTAATGAGCCTCAATTAGCACTTCAATGGCCCACAAGGTGGGGTTGGATCTCCGAGGGAGGGGCTGATGCCTCTCCTCAGAGCCCTGGGAAGGAGTAAGATGGCCACTGTCCTGCGTGGCAGCAACTCAGCAAAAGCTCGGAGTGCCCTCCAAATCCCAAGTGCCCCCACACAGTTCCAGTCCAGTCTGCCCTCCCTTTGCGAGAGCCCAAGGTGAGTGGCTGTGGCTTTTGTCGCCTCTGTCCTGGCTCTGCGCTGGGGAGCCG